CACCCGCCTCACCCCAGGGGCCTGCGGGACCTGCAGCCTTTTCCGGACCTGGACTCCCTGCTGCGACCACCCATGCGCCCTGGCTCGGACCCAGTCCCCCCACACACCCCCGGGCTGCCTAGGGCCTGAGCGAGGCCTTTGCGCTTCCCTTAGGGTTTCCCTCCCGCTGCTGACGCTCGGGCTGGGACACCTGCTGTGCGCCTCGAAGGGCCTGTTGGAACCTCAGAGGGACGGGGGTCCATGGGCTGTGTGCATATGTGCAGCCCCCTGGACACAGACAGTGGGGAGGGCTTGGGGGGACAGGAGCAGGCTGGACAGGTCAATGGGGGGGGGGGGGAGACCTATGTCACACTTTCAACAATAAAGGTTAAAAATAAGTAAATAGCCCGGCATGAACCAAGCTGTCCCGGCCCGCCACAGGGACCCACAGAGCTTTACGGGCGGGAAGAGGCCCCTGGCCGCCATTGCTGCCTCATTCGCGCAATGATTTGGGTATTTCCCTTCCTCTGTGCTCACTCGCTGGTCTTCACAAAGGATCTGGCAGAGAGAAAAACAAACATTCCCTGGGGGGAAACCTGGGCCGTTTCGAATTGAGATGGAGGTGCAAGACAAGAGGTAAACCGAGAACAGCCAGCTCCGCCGCCGGCCGTGTTGGTGGAAGGCGGCCGGACGTTTACTGTGGAAGGAGGCCTCCTGACACACCACGGGCCTAGGGATGCGGTGGGCGTGGGGCGCGCAGACACGAGTGGCTCAGGGGCCGGCCGCGGAGCCTTGAGAGCCCGCAGTGTGTTCTCTACGGGGGAGACGGGTGGGCGGGTGCCGAGCTCCTTGCCCGTGCGTAGCGCAGATGAACATAAAAAGGGAGCCAACTCCTTTGTGTGCTTTTAAAAAATATTTTTATTGATGTTAGTGAGGAAGGGAGAAGGAGAGATAGAAACATCAATGATGAGAGAGAGTCATTGATTGGCTGCCTCCTGCTCGCCCCCCACTGGGGATCCAGCCTGCAACCCCGCAACCCCAGGCAAGCCCTGCCCTGGAATTGAGCGGTGACCTCCTGGCTCATAGGTGGACGCTCAACCACTGAGCCTCGCCGGCCCGGCTCCTGTGTGTCCTGCATCCTCCCAGGTGCCCCCCCCGCCACCTGTTCTCAATTCAAGCTTTCCTCTCCATTTCACCCACCCCCTCCCTACAGGAGACGTGAAGGTCACGACATGGCCGTATCTGGGCTCGGTCAAGGTTACCTGGGTGCGGAACACTGAAGACACAACATCCTCACTCACAAGGGAGAGCCATCTCTCCAGCCCAGGACCCTCCGTCCCAGGCCCGACGCTTCATCCCCTGAGCCACACCAGCCAGGGCCCTGGGAAGGTTCTAGATCAGCCGTGGGCAAACTACGGCCCGCGGGCCGGATCCGGCCCGTTTGAAATGAATAAAACTAAAAAAAAAAAAAAAGACCGTACCCTTTTATGTAATGATGTTTACTTTGAATTTATATTAGTTCACACAAACACTCCATCCATGCTTTTGTTCCGGCCTCCGGTCCAGTTTAAGAACCCATTGTGGCCCTCGAGTCAAAAAGTTTGCCCACCCCTGGGCTAGATGCTGACCCTTGCTGAGCCCTGTGCGCACCTGGAGCACACGGCACCTGAAGCCTCGCCACCCTGTCCTGATTGCGGTGCACAGACGGCCAGACTGGGGGCGGGCGGCTCCTGCACAGCGGGGGTCCTGAGAGGAGGTGCCCGTGGCGTCC